GGGGGGGGGGGGGGGGGGGGGGGGGGAAGGTAGGAATTAAAGGGGACTTGTATGGCATAAATACCAGCGCTCCTTTTTCTTTTTTTTTTTTCTTTTTGGTATGTATTTATGTAGACATGTCCAAGTGTCTGTGTACATGTATGTGTGCAGTTACACATGTATATATGTGTGTGTGATCACGTGGAGGCCAGAGATTTTTGTCTAGTAACTTCTTCAGCTGTTATCCATCGTATTTTTGGAGATAGGAGCTCAATCAACCTTGACCTCACTGATTTCAGCTAGAACATAGGCAGCAAGTCCCAAGTGTATCTTCCTGTCTCTACCTCCTTAGCTATGGTATGTGCCACTACTCTAGGTTTTTTACATAAGTGCTGGAGATCTGAACTCAGACCCTCATGCTTGCAAGGCAAGCATTTTACTGACTAAGCCATTTCCCATATTCCTAGGACCTCTTTGTGTGCTGTGGGAGTCTGTCATGAGTATCTATGACATGTTGCTTTGGCATCCACTGTGAATAGAAGCTATACTTTCTCACATCAGAGAAAGTTATCAGTCACCCTAACTGTCTCCAGTTCTGTGCTTCCCAGCAACAAAGTATGACCAATTCAGCGGTCTGTCATGCATCACTGTTCCCTGGCAACCTTCTTCTGGTCAGCTAGATATAGCTTGAGGAGCTGTGCTGACTCTCCCACCCAGAATGGACTGTGAAGCCACCTGAAACTTGTGCCTACTTGCTTTAAGCTCACTAATGAAAACTCTCCACAGGAGATATGTTTGGATACTGATAGCCAATAAAGGTTTGGCCTATGGATCCCTATCGTTCTTTCCCTGCCTGTACTTTTCTAACCTATGTGTATTGACTTCCATGAGTGAGTAATAAAGGTTTTATATTTATCTATGTCTTCCCTTGTTCATCACAATGATCTTAAAATCAAAACAGTCTTATTTGGCTGAGTTAAGAGATCCACAGCTTTTTACTAACTTCTAAGAAGGGTTTTCTAAATTGAGTGACAGCAGTACAACAGCAAACCCTCCCTCCCATGCTGTCATAGCCCCTAACTTTTACTTTTCTGTACCAATAACGGCCATTCAGACTCAGTAGAATGTCTGACCCACCACCACCATCTATATGCCCTGGGGAACATCTCTCCATCTTCTTTTCTCCTACAGTTGGACTCTGACCTCTCTTTCTCCTGTTCTTCCATGATTGTCATTTCAGGTTCCCAAGGCCATCTTTTCTGCCAAAAAGATTCCCAGAGGAAGAAAAGAGAAAAGAGTATCCTCCTATTTGCTAAGGGTTTTTGTTTGCTTGCTTGCTTGTTCGTTTTTTCCTGATATGTAGTGGGAACCCCTGAATAGTATATGTACTAGAGAATAAAATTTTATTCTGTGACTATACTCAATATATATCCAGTACTATTTCCTTAAGTTACATTAATATAGACAATTCCCAAATGGAATTTTTAAGCATCTATGAGGGATAAATGTTTTCCAGGCTGGCCTGGGAATTTCATTCTGCAGAGGAGAAAATGTCTCAGTGGTAATAATCAGTTTAGTAATGACTATTACAAACTACCTTTCCTGACTCAGGCATGGTGACAGGAAAATCTAAGTCTGGTAGAAGGAAAGAAAAAAAAAATCAAAGGGAGAGATGGCTCAGCTCCTCTTCCAGAGGACCTAGGTTCAATTCCCAGCACCCACATGGTGGCTCACAACCCTCTTTAAATCCAGTTTCAATTGATCTTATAACTTCTTCTGCCCTTCAAGGGCATCAGGCATGCACATGGTACATAGACATATATGCAGGCAAAACACCCATACACATAAGATAATAATTAAAAAAGAAATCAAAGAACATTTTTAGCTGTACTATGATTGTATATATATACATATATATATATATATTACATGTCATCATATAAAAATGACATATATGCAAATTTGTTAAGTGGTGTGGTAGCAAAAATGAATTGCTAAAGTGGTCACTTTCATTTTCACTCATGATGTGGGGAATGAGCTTCCCTAAGCCATTCCCACAATACATGTTTACTGTGATAAAAAGGTTCCAATAATGGTGGAAGTACAGATTGCATGGTGACATCAAGAAAAACAAATGCTTAGAAATAATTCAAGACACATTCACAGAAGGGCCAAACACAAAGTGGTTGCTGCAGTGCTCAATTCCTAAAAAGATCCTCTTTAGAAGATACGTGCATGGAAATCTCCAAGCTATGGCTTAGAAATCAGGAAGCAGGTAACACAGGTTCCCCTTCAGGAGTAGGTCAATGATATCCTGATAAAGGAAGACCTAGAAATGAGGTGGGCAAAGTTCATGTAGGGGCAAGTATTGGGGGAGGCCAGAGATGCTTCTGCTGTAGGCCTTGTGAAAGGAGCCTGTACTTGCAGTAGAAGTACTTACGTTGATGGTATAGTCACAGGATATTGCATATTCTGAAATAAGATGAATTGATGGGCATGCGTGTAGGTACACACAGGCATCCTACTTAGGTTGTGACCTACATGTTCTACATGTACTCCACAATGAATCTTCCAGGTACTAAATATCTGACACTTGAATTCAATCTCTGGTAATGAATTTAAAAGTGAAGGGCAGCTGAGTTGACCCACCTCATAGAAGAGTCCTTCTGGGAACTGCTGGAAGCACTGAGCACACACGAAGCACTGTTCATGGTAGAGCTCACCATTACTGTTCACGATCTTCTCAGCAGGTGCAAAGCCTCCCTTGCAGCGCTCACATGTGGCGCTGGCCAAGGCATTGGCCATATTGCTATAACACACAAAGGACAAGACAGAGACTGTTAACTTGTAATTAGGCTTAAGAGCAGATGACACTAAAAACCAAGGAGCAAATTCTATCTAGACACAAAAACTGTTACTTTATTCATAAAACCAGATTTCACAAGTTCTCTAACTCAAAATGGCCCAGTCTCATTAACCTAGGCACTTTAGATTCTGAAAGGGCCTCCTGCTTTGCTTCTATTTGACTTAACATTCTTAGCATTTATGTAAGCAGTGTTAGATACTAAGAACCCAGATCAAAGCCAAGAGTTCCCTTAGCTGGTACAGAGCTGTACACCTGTAGTTCTAGTCTATAAGAAGGTAGGGACAGGAAGGTTGCTTGAGCCCAGAAGTTCAAGAATAGCCTGGGCCGTAAAGCTATAATGATACTATCTCAAATAAATAAACCAATGAATATATGTTTCCCTCAAGGAACTCAGGCTTACAGCTGGATAGTTATAGCTTTAATTAAAATACTGATGACACAGCAAGCACTTGAGAGGCAGAGGTAGGTGGATCTATGAGTTTAAGGCCAGCCTCTACACCACTGAGTTCCAGGACAGCCAGGGCAACACAGAGAAACCCTATCTCAAAAATCCAAAACAAACAAAATATCCACGATATAACATTTTTTAAAAAAGTTGTTCGTTGGTAAGAATACAATGTATTTAGATCACATCTAACCCTACTCCCACCTCCAGCTCCTCCAGTACTCTCCATTCCATGTCACCCTCCCAACTTCATGTCTATTTGTCCTGTCCTCCTCGTAACATACTGAGTCCAGTTAGTGATGCACATATGTGCATGAATGTAGGGCATCATCCACTGCAGCATGGGCAACCTATAGTGGGCCGTACTGCAAAAGAAAACTGACTCTCCCTTCTCTAGGCACAGCCAACTGCCAGTAGCTTCTCCACTATGGGTGGGGCCTCACTCACCCCTTCTCTCCATGAGATAATATCTTAAAGTCAACCTCTATCCCTTTAAAATAACAGAATCTAGACTTCATGTAACTGAATGTCATAATATAACCTAAATTTAGATTATACCTTTGGTTAGCTACTGTTGAAAACTACTTAAAACGACTGAAAATTAAACAAGATGCCTCAATTATATTAGACTGTAAATAAGGCAAACACTGAATACTAACAGTATAAAATGTATCTTTAAATCACAGAATTTTATATAATAAAGACCACTTTCCAGATGGAAAACAGGTTCAGATGAGGACAGTTAACTCAATATCGTTGAACTAGCTTCTTAGTCAATGAATGACACAGGAATAGAATCTTGGCTTGCTGCTTACAGGAAATCATCCCCATCACAGAACACAGCCTTACTGAGAGTTCCTGAGAGTTCCTGGTAGAGACGCAATCATGTTTTACAGCTCAGGTCAGGAGAATGAAACCAGGCAGTAAGTAGTGTTGAATGCCTGACAGTTCCCTCATGAGCAATTAATTCCACGACACCCACAGGATGTGTTCAATGAATAACATCAGGTTTCTCCAGCCACTGGTGCTTCAGAAGTAAGGGAGCATGGCCAAGGCAAAGAATTAGGTGCAGATTTCACATAAATAGCTATTTTGTTTCTGAAAATTTCAGAAATGAAGGTCCCCTATGCGGAACAGTCACTGGCCAAGTTATTCTTCATAATTTTACAAATAGCTTTTTTGTTTGTTTGTTTGTTTGTTTTTAGAGGCCTACTCTATGGCAGAGTTATAGGTCTACCAAGTCTACTCCTGGCATAGCTTCTGATCTTTCTGATATTTTATCAGTGTATCACCACCAATGGTAAGAGACAGATGGTGTGGAGAGCCTCTAACTTCATAGACACTTTAACCAGCCACTTTAACTATTGCAAAAGTGGCAATAGTTATTCCTCACCCCACCCCAACTGAGGACAGCTCTACACTTGTCTTCTTCCCTCAAATGTTTCAAGACAATTCTATTTTGTAACCTTGCCAAAAGTAACTCTACGTTGAATTCCCACATTCACCATTTCAGACCAATCAAACTGTACTTTTAATTAGAAATGTCACTGGAAAAAAAAAAAGAAAAGATGGGGCCAGTGATTTGGTACAGCAGATAATGGTAGTGCCAAGCCCAAAGATTTGACCTTCATCCCTGGAACTCACATGGTAGAAGAACAAAAGTGACTCCAATACGTTATCTCTGACCTCCACGTGTGTGCCCCATCCCAATACACTTTTTATAAGGAAGGAGGCAGCCTCAGTGCTGTGTAAACCTGGCCCAAACACTGTGTAGACAGACTTCCACTTTGTCTTTTCAGAACTAATATGAGATGAGGAGATCTGGACAGTTTTAATGAAGTTCTGCTTAGATCTGGGCACACTCTTACAGAAAGAGTGACCAAATAAAGAGCCACATCTGCTCAAGAATTCTCAGAAGCTGTTTGAGGATGAAATAATTAAAACACACACACACACACACACACACACACACACACACACACACACACA